AAAATCCTTTATCAAAAAAAAATAGTGAATAATGAGAGGCTAGGTAATTTGTATGCAAATCGAAGGGCACAGATGAGTAGTTTAGATTAAAAGTCAGGGTTTCACTTCATATATTTTTCATAACTATAAGGTTGGGAAATTAAGATACAGATTTAGAGGGCTCGTTTACGCTATTCCATAATGGGAAAGGTAGTGATTTTTTTTCCAAAAATAGAATAATCTAATAGCTATTGTTGTCGGTTCATTTAGAGTATTCTTCATTTGCCTTTGTAGAGCATCTATCTTATGTGATAAGAATTCAAAATGAAGGTCTAATTAGTAATAGTAGGTTAAGATTACCTAATTATAATGATGTATCCCGGGCCCCTTGCTGGGCCAGTCTCGGCCTTATCATTCATCAGCATAGTGACCCGTTTGTTACTCTTTCATCCTTCAGAGATCAACTGCAGTTACCTTTCTTTATGGAAGTGCTAATTACACTGTGTTGGTCCACTGGAGTTCTGGACAGTACGCAATGATAAAATTTCCAGAAATGTTCAACCATCAGTTCAGAATTGCAAATCAATCTTCAGGAAAGAGTTTGCTCATTATCCTTCAAGCAAATCAAATTTATGAGCCCCTCATTAGTCATCTGGACGTTTTCCACTTTTTTTTTAATAAATTCCTAATAGGGGGAAACCTCTCCTGTTTCCCTAAAAAAAAGTAAGGATGTATCCTATGAAATTGTCCTAGCAACCTTGATAATCCTTCGAGAGGAAAAGTCAGCACAAAGATAGAAACGTGTGCAGCACACATGCTCAGCCAGTCAGTCCACTGTGTTGGTATGTAAAGGGCAAGCAGGTTTGCTGCTAGGACGTGGTTAGTGATTGCGCAGCCTATTAGGGCAATGCTTTGTCCAGGACGTCTGTCCGTTCGGATGGCTTCTTTGGTGGGCCATGATGCCCACGAGACTTTCTTATCCGCTCATATATTTGCTCTCCTTCAGGCACCGAATTTCTTAAAAATACATCACCGCAGCGCTACGAGTCCATGACTGCACTCAGCCGTGCCTCCCACCCGCCTTCCACTCCACCGTTGCACCCGGCCACATCCCGCGCTGCTCTGCGCCCCGCGCCATGCCCCATCCACCTCGCCCATCGTAGAAGGAGAAGAAGGGGAGGCCCGCGCCTGCACCTGTCGGCAAGAAGGGGAGGCCTGCGCGCTGTGCATGGGGTGTATGCTGGACCGTTGCTCTCGATGTCCCCCTAAGTCGAGCTTGCTGGCTACCGAAGTTCCCCACCAGGTAGGCTGTGGCCGCCGGCGACGCTATGTTTCAAAGTGTTTCGGGCGTTTCACACTTATGTTTCAAGTGTTTCAGCTGGATGTTGCAAAAGTAGATCTGCGATGTTTTATATGTTGCAATGATAATATACGCATGTTTCAAGCCAATGTTTAAAGTGTTTCAGTTGTTTCATACGCATGTTTCAAGTGCTTTCATCTAGATGTTATATATGTTTGCTATGGCTGCACACATATGTTTGTGTTTGTTTTCATATGTTTTAGATGTTTTAGACTTATGTTGCAAAAGTGAATTTGGATATTGCGTATGTTGTTATGGCTATACACGCATGTTTCAAGAGTATATTTCAAATGTTTTATTTGTTTCAAGTGGTACGTTGTAAATGTTTTATCTTTATGTTTCAAAAATAGATCAGGTCTTGCACATGTTGCAATGTGCGCTGGTGGCTGACGGACAGCGGCCTGCTGCTGCTACTGGGGCGCCGTCGTGGTTCACGTGCGGGCACGGGATGGGCGCTACAGGCCTGGTGTTGCTGCCGAGGAGCCGCCGTGGTTCATGTGCGGGCGTGCTTCCCGACACTGGCGCGCGATGCGGGCGGGCACGGGGTGTGAGATGTGATGCGGACAGACACTGCCTCCGGAGCGGGATTTGGCCAAGGGGCGAAGGGAGTTGCATGCGTTGGGCGCGGGTATGGAAGCTACGTCCAGATGGACGCTGCGTTCCAGACGTCTGGGCGCTAGTGGTCCGTTTAATTTAGGCCTATGTGAAGTATGGAGGAGGGCCACTGCCCAACGGCCAGGACTCCAGACGTGCCTTTACCTGTTCTTCTCATTCCGTCGTTAGGCATGGCCGCCGCACAAAGGGAGCCAGGCAGTCCGTCGTGCTACAAGTGAACTTCATGATGAGTGTCGTGTATAAGATCTTCACATATTGAGGACAAGTACCCTCTAATATATGTATCTGACAGATAATAACATATACCATTGACAATATTTATTGTCCAAAAAATTGTAGACAGAGATCCAACTGAAGCTGATCAAAGAAGCCATGAATGTCAGTTTCGTCAATCAATTTATTGTAGAACGGTGGTGCTACTTGGCAACGGTGGTCTAATTATACGATTATCTTAGACCAATGGTTATTTGTACTATAATTTTATCGTGCTAATCAAGACTCGATATTTATGTTTCTTCACATCAAAACTTGAATGATAATCTAATTGTTAAGAGAAATTTTACAATAGTTGAAAAAAACATGAGACATCTATTCGATGAGATCGGATAGTACAAAAATAGGAGGTACTAAGTATCTAGAGATACTAAATAGGTGGGGACAATATCAAAATTAGGTGGGACAAGTACTAAATACGTGGGTCCAAGTTTATTGTTTATTTTTTGTTATTTTTTCCGTTATGGGCAAATGGTAATTTTAGCACCTTCGTTGAAGGGCCAAGATGGTAATTTGTTTTGGTTATGAGGAGCTGGGCCGCTTGGTGCTTGGCGGCGGCCGCGGGCACGATGAAGAGGAGGAGGCGTGGTTCAGGCCGACGGAGTCCAAGACGGAGGAGGACGACGCGGACAGGGAGCCAACAACGTTCTACATCCTCTGCTTCTCCCCTGGGTCTGACCTGTCGGTGCTGTTCGTTGGCGCCGGGCGAGGGGGCAAGGAGCGGTGGTTAGTGAGCGACCCCGCCGTGGCCGTGTTGGCCCGCGTGGACCGAGCAGGGTTGTGTGGAGGATGGGCGAGGTGCTCCTCATGCGGAGGATGGGCTTTGCACCGCCGGCAACTCCAATCTCATCCGCGTCCAAGAGAGCTTACGACGACTTTTTCGCAAGGAACTTGACGTCGAGCGAAGTGGAAGCACTGGACGTGCTGTTCCCGGCGACCAATGCTACGACTGGTAGAAGACTCTTCTCGGATGATGGAGCAGAGTCGCACGGACTATAGCGGAGACACCCAGCTCCGTAGGTTACTGCGCTGCCCTTAATTCGGTTGTTTACTTTTATGTAATATCGAAATTTAAAACAGTCTGTTAGGAAGGTCCAGTCACAACTGTAAGACCTCTTAGGGTGCTCACTAGAAGTGTGTTGTGTATATGGTTAAACTCTTATTCTTCTTAATTACAATGATACGCAAATCTTTTGCGTATTCGAGAAAAAAAAAGCAGGGTCGTGTGACATGTTCGCCGCGAGCGACCTGTGCAGCAGGCTCCCGTGCCGGCGAGGCTCGACTCCATGGCCTGCGCGCAGCTCACCAGCAGCGTGCGCATGTCCACCTGCTGCTGGAGAAGAAGTCAAGAAGAGGCACGAGAGCTTCTTGCATGGCGACGTGGACAAGGCAATTGATCATTATACCGAAGCTGTGCCCACCTGAGCAGGAGTGAGCGGCTGGTGCTGCACAGCAGCTGCAAGCAGTGCCGGCTCGCGCGGCGCGAGGCCGACGCGGCGGTGAGCGACGCGACACGCGGGCTCGTCCTGGCGTGGCCGGCGAACGTTCATGCCAGAAGCCTGTGGCGCCGCGTGCAGGCATACGACATGAAGGGCACCGGGAGAGCCTCCTGGACTGTGTGGACTTCACTGGAGCATGGCTCGACGGCCGGAAACACCCTCGGAGTGCGGCGCGCGGCGCGAACCCGAAGCTGCCGTACTGCGTCGCTCGGATGATCAGCAAGCAGACTCGGTTACGAAACTACCCTCAATAGTACAAATTATATTTAATAAATAATGTTTCTCAATTAGTTAGCTAAAAAATAAAAAAAATGAAAGTACCTCGAGGTACCATGGTACTTTCTCAACCATTGTAAAACATCTCAATTGTTAATGCTTCGTGAAAACCCATGTAAAATTGATGATTGGATACAAACGGAATGTCACAAACATAGCTAAAAAGTATCGTTTTTAAACAATACAACCCTTTCAAACTTGAATTATCATGTCATTATTTCTTCATATTGCAAAGCACGAGCATGATGTAGTAATAAAAACATTGTTTTCGATAGCCTGTTGGTTCAGTATTATTTTTTACTGTATCTCATTTCGATGTGTCACTTGAACCTCACTGTTTTAAGATGACCGTAAGCAAAACGTGCATAGTTGACTTCTTAGTAACATCATGAAAAATACTTAATGCTAATCTATTGTTACGAAATTTAGTAGTGCTACTGTTTTTACTTCTTCCTCAAAGCTCTACAAATAACAAAGAAAAGCACCGGTACACACAAACTTTGTACCTTTAAGCAGGATAACACATTTTTTCTTTTGAATAAAAAGAAAATACATAGATGTAATGAAAGCAAAGTTCTAATGAAAACAAACTTTGTGTTGAAATGTCTTCAGCTTTGTAGTTCTAATGGAAACACATTTCTTGATCAACAGTGTATTTTTTAGGAAATGGATATTGCCATATTGCTAGCCTCTGGCAATGTCGGGTGCACCAAGCCAGGTTCAGTTTCCAGCAGACTGTGTCTGAATACATGAATAGAGTGCAACATGTCCCCTAACAGTTATATTACTTAAATTACTTAATTGTTTGCCCTTGTTAGGTCTGCGAGATAGCAGTCCCTTATCTTGCGCATCTCAGCTGCAGCATCACTCATGGGCTCTCTCTCTCTGATGGTGTTAGCTTGGTGCAGGACAGCGCAAGTTTAGTGACTGAAGTTATGGCATTTTCAATCTCTTCCCCTCCATTGCTTCTGTGTTGTGGATTTCTTCCATACGTCTCATCAGTGGATAGCAGTATCAACAATGTCCATCAGCTTCTCTGGAAATGCTATCTCAACAAAGCCCTGTAAGGTCAATCCATCCACAAACATGGCATCGGTTGGGGCCTTCCCTGTAAACATCTCAAGGAGCAGAACTCCAAAGCTGAAGACATCTCCACACAAGGAGACCTGGCCGCCTTCCCCATATTCTAAAGTGCAAAGAACAAGAAAAAATGGCAATATACTCTATGGAGTACCTGTAAGAGAATGATGCAGTTACATATTTTCAGTTACCTGGAGCCACATATCCAACTGTTCCTCTTATTCCGGTGAAGGTATTCGAATTGATCACAGGATCACCTTCTGAATCAGAAAGAATCTTTGCAATGCCAAAATCTCCGACACAGGCAACAAAGTCCACATTCAGAAGAATATTGCTTGGCTTCAGGTCACAGTGGACTATCGGGGGCTCGCAATTGTTATGCAAATAGTCCATAGCATCGGCAACATTGATAGCAATGTTCAATCTTTGCAGTAGTGTCAGGCCTGGTATAGGTCTGGACACATCTGAATCAGGATTAAGCTCATGTAGCCACTTGTCAAGGCTTTGGTTTGGCATGAACTCGAACACAATGGCTTCGAAATTATTCTGTTTCGAGTCAGAACTAGAGCAGCAGGTTATGACGCTGATCAAGTTACGATGGCTGATCTTACTAAGAGCTTCACACTCAACTACAAAGCTTTTGGAAGAACCTGACTGCTGCAGATCAAAAACCTTAACAGCTACTTCAGTTTCAACGTTTTTCAGCGACAATGTGCCCTTATATACGGGCCCATATCTTCCTCTTCCAATCAAATTGCTACCAGAAAAGCCATTACTTCCTTGGAACAGCTCAGCATAAGAAACTGTAGGATATTTATCATCCAAGAAAGAGATGGCTGCCGTTGCCGTTGTTGTAGCATAACAGCACAATAACAGTGAGATGGCTGCTGTTGATATCATAAAGTCCACATATAATGCCCGTTGACTGCATTCAGGTCTCTCTCCTTTTTATTTTGACTGGCAAAATTTTCCCATAATTCGTTTATCTTTTTTTTTTCTATCGATAAACTGAACCGGACTCCTGGCACTTTGGTATCCTGCTCCGGTGCTCGCAAATCCCAAGTTGGAGAGAGACCTGAATGCAGTCATGAATAATAGATATATACAATTCCTTGTTGGACTGAACTAATCGCAAGATCAATCCTGGCAGGGAATAAGGCAAGTGTGATCAGAAACACAAGCAGACACATTCTCATATATACCATACTACGGTTAGTCATCATTCTTATATATACCATACTAGGGTTCCTTGTCTGGAAAATATAGCCTTCCACAAAGGGCATATTTGCTCCAAATCACTTACAGACACAGTTTAGCCATTAAAATTTGGAATTCCTGCAAGACACCATTTGATCATTTACATTTGCTACAAGAGTTCGGAACCAGCACTTCATGTAGATTTCAGCCATTCGTCTAAATCATGAGCTCAGCTGTACAAAAGCAGAAAGAAACGGAATATTGCAATGGATTCATTTCTTCCTCTGCAGCCATCACCAAACTTTTCTCATTGTTCACTGGCTGATCTCGCCGTCCTTGTCAACGCCTTGGCCAGTGGAGGACGGGGAGTAGTCAGCCGCAGTGGGGGAGTCACTTCTGCTAGGGCTGTGCACAATGTCATCAAATGAAAAATATGTGATTAATGATGCCTTTTATGATGACAGGCAGTTGATGTATTCCTGATGCCGTGTCAATTTACCTGAAATTTGGAGAGGTTGGACTATAATCTGGGCTAGGTCTTCCAGAGTCGTCAATTGGCCTACACAAGTTAGTCAATCCATTAGAAAATCCACAAAACTCAAGGAGAGGACATACGCCTGAAATGGAACACTTTTCTGATAGAAATTCCAAAAAAAAAACTTTTCTGATACACAAATGTGAAGATGCTTGATATAGAGGATGAAGCCTGAATGAGGCTCACCTTGTTGGGCTGTATGACAGAGTTGGTAATGAATATGATGGTGAAGTCGGTGAGTAAGTCGGCGAAGTTGTACTGAAATTTAAAACAGTAATACAAGCAATCAATACATAAATATTAGAACACAGATTGGCACTGTCAGTTGTCAAGGATATATTTGCAACTCTGTAGAATTGTTAGTACCTGTAGTCTGGAGGAGTCTGGCTGTCTAGAGTCATCCTTGGTCCGGTTGGAGAGTAAGTGTTGGAAGAATTGTACACAATAGACGAAAGATTGTAGTTTGGTGAAGTTGGGCTGTAGTTTGGCGATGTTGGGCTGTAAATTGGTGAGGTTGGGCTATAACCAGGTGATGTAGGGTTGTAACCAAGTGATGTATGACTGTATGTAGGTGATGTTGGGCTGTATGTGGGTGACGAAGGACTGTATGATGGAGACGTAGGGCTATAGAATGGTGATGTTGGGCTGTATAAGGGTGATGAAGGACTGTATGATGGAGACGTAGGGCTATAGAATGGTGATGTTGGGCTATACGATGCTGATGCTGGACTATACAATGGTGATGTGGGGCTGTATGCAGGCGAAGTGGGACTATAGCTTGGAGAAGAAGGATTATATTTTGATGAGCTAGGAGATATAGGATTATAAATTGGAGATGTGGGCGAGTATGATTGAATCTGCGAAGAAACTGGAGTCGTAGGGGAGTAAACTGGACTCATGGGCGTGTAAACTGGAGTTGTGGGTGAGTAAACCAGACTTACTGGACTATATGATGTTGAAGTAGAAGCATTCACTGGTGATGCAGCAATGTATGGAGTATATATTGGTGATACAGCCATGTACCTTCCCGACATGGGAATGGGAATCGGAGAGTAATCACCTTGTGAAAGAACAGGTGACAACGACATATCTCTGACAGATGGTGAAAATAAAGCATATGTATCAATGGGGGAATGCCTAAAATCTGGACTCAGAAGATGACTCGGGGACATCAATCCTTCATGATATGGCGACTCAGAGAGAGGTGAAGGTGCTGATGTGATGCCAAAGTCCAGACCATCCACATAGCTTGGGAGTTGAAGTTCAATGGCCTGCTGCAGGCCTACAGCATTTGGTCCTTCACAAATAGTGCGCAACCTCCGGTACCAATAGGAGCAAGCTGGCCAAGCATATTGTTCTCAGTGACACCTCTCAGGTAGTCAGATTCAGCATGTACAGCAGCATCAAGCAAGATATCCACAGTTTCTTCAAAAGAACATCTCATAAGAGGTCCAATGTCATTGCGATTGATACCATGCCTTGTAATAGCCATCAGATGACCTCTATATGTCATTGTATCACAAAGAACAGCCAAATGCCTATAATTTACATAGGATCCATCAAACGATATGACCGACCGAAGTTCATCCAAAAGAGCTCGATGAACAGCCTCAATTCCAAGAACCTCAATCACTTCAGTCAAATGGTTACTTGTTGTTCTTGTAGCATCAACATCCTCATGACACATGACAGCCAAGAGATTGACACCTTCTGTATCAAGCATCCACTCCTCATGTTCTTTGAAACCATCATTCACATCAAATTTGTTAACCTTCACCTCTTTTATAAACACCTTGTTAATATCCGAAATGCCTTGAAGAGAATCTCTGCCAACATGTTACTCTCTATCTTCTTGAGGAAAACTTCATCCTCAGCAGACTCATCTAGTATTTCTCCTCTTGAAACTTCATCATTTATGATGCGCAGGTGAAGAATAAGTTTATCTGCATTGTCATCACTGAATATGCATGATAAGTCACCATCAAATTCACGGTTGATCTTATTTGGCGATATCAGCCATGCTCAACTTATTATCAACCATCATCTCACGATTAAGCTCAATACGCAGCAGCCAAGGAGAAATCTTATTCGGGTCAATATCCTCATCAGGCATTTCATAATATGACCGGACAAATTCCAAATCCTCTTCAATGATGGTTACCATAGGATCAGGATCATACCATACTTTAGTGGCATGAGTCACACTGCGTAGTGTGGTGTACTCTAAAGCACATTGGACACTCTTAGCCAATTCTTTCATCTTGTTCACCTCAGGCTTTAGGTAAACAGACAATGATGGAGTTTTTATCTTCTTGGCAACATTAATGATCTCTCTCAATCTGGGAACTCAAAGAGTAACATTCTTGGCACTGACACCAGCAAAATGGAAGGTATTCGGAGTCATTTGAGTTGCTGGTTCCCCAATGGACTGCGCAGCAACACATCCAATCATTTCACTAGGGGCCACCAAAGACTGAGAAAATCTCCAAACAATCTCATCGATAATCCACTCAAATGCTTTCCTTGTAAGCCTGTATTCCCTCAAGACCCTCTTGCTAGCAAATGTGGCACGAAGATGGATATTAAAGAACAAGGTGTCATTCTTTTGAGCCTCAATGCTTATAGCATCATCACCAGGCACAACTTTTAGTCTTTCTTGCAGCTTATCTATCGCTTCCACAATTTCTATTGGGTGCATGTCAGAACATGTTCTGATGTCAATCTTGAATGTCTTCTGAGCATTCCAGATAAGCCGCTTGAGGTTGACAGGCAAAGGCCATGTACGATTACCATTTGTAGCAATCTGGAACCATGTTAAAGCTTAATCATTGGTCCCAAGTCGGAACACGATTACCATTTGTAGCAATCGACTTCTAGCATATGAACCTCCGCCTCTAACACACTTCTGAATTCACTAATGGTCTTCAAATCATCAAAATGGACAGGCAACAAGTAGTTAGGCCTCCAATTCTCGTCATCCAGTTCATATCGGAATACAGTATCAAACTCGTCCTTTTCATCTTCAAAGAGTCCAAATTCTGTTCTTCAATCCAAACAACGTCCATACCATCTTCCCCATATAGGAACTGAATGACATCTCCCATGGAATTTCTTACAGTGCCATCATACTTCACCATGATGTCCTCCATAGCTTTCACAAGCCTCCGTTGGATATACTCAGTCTCAGAAGTCTTCATAGCCGTATCAATCAGTCCTTCTCTACCACCCATAGCATGAAAGAAAAATTCTTGCGGTGTCAGACCATGAAGGTAAGAGTTCTCCACTAATCCACGACTTTCAGGACCATAGTCATCTTTCGTGAAATGTGGCAATGTTCGATCACTGAAACCAAATGGGATCCACTTGCCCTCAATATTTTGTTGTCCGACACAAGCAGCCATTTGCTAAATGTTAATGAAATTGCCTTTTGAGCCTGCACTAACCATAGCCTTCAAATTGTTGCTTTCAGACAAGTTATTCTGCACACGGCTTCCAACATGATCACGAGCCTTGTTGAGAACCTGGAATAAAAAGAGAGTGGACTGATGTTAAACAACTCAACTGAGAGTGATAGTTTTCTGTTTGATTGGAAGACCTATATATAAAAGGCAGTCCACGATCAAAGACAAACAATTACCTCATTTACTTTATTTTCAAATGATTCCATCATGGTGCGTCCTGGCTCAGCTTCCAATTGCCCGTCACATGCTTTTTTAATAAGCTGCTTCACACAATCCTTAGCTCTAGAAATGGCTTTATTAATGTCATCCATTGTGGCTGCATCTGCAATCATATCCCCAATTCCAATACTAAAACCATTTTGAAGAAGCCAGTAGTTGACAAGCCACTGTGTATAACCTAAGAACTTGCGTGCAGCATCTGGACCAACCTCTTCCCTGCAAAGAACAAGTTAAAATGAAACTAGATCAGCAGAAAGAAACAAGAAAAAAGAAATTACTAAACTGTGATGCAACTTGTGAATCTGAACTCTCATGGAAGCATAATTACCAAATGATATGAATCAGAACTCCCGAGCCTGTTCCAAGAGTCTTTTTGCAAAGTGTGACAGGTAGAAGCTCTCCCTTTTCTATCCTGACCACAGTATCACTGGGAGTAACAAATCCTTTCTCTTCGTCGGAATGCCAGGAACAAAAAAGAATTAAATTTATTTGCCTTGGGATAATTAAGTTGAAAACTTGTTTCCCAGTCCAAATAGGCCTTGGTTTGAGAATGGCAGGAGCAGGAGTCTTTACATCAAAGTCTTCCCACCACATCAATATGTTCATAAATACGTCCTGGAATAAATTTCATAATGTTGAGCTACAAAATTTAACAGAAAACACTATTGGAAAAAGGTAAGTAAAGTCTGTCTTTATTCACCTTTTCAATGAGAGTGTCCCTTTTGGTGATTTTGCGATATCCAAGCAGCGTGTCTTGGACAATACCCATCACAGGCTTATTTGATTGTGGAGACACAATACATTTTGGCACCATCATTAATTCTAGAACTTCTGCTCTAGTCTCAAAAGAATGGGGAACATGCATATTCATTTCATCCCCATCAAAATCAGCGTTATATGGTGATGTGACAGACAAATTCAATCGGAAAGTTGAGTAGGGCATAATTTTGATTCGATGCCCCATGATAGACATTTTGTGAAGACTTGGTTGCCGATTGAAAAGAACAAAATCTCCATCATTGAGGTGCCTCTCCACCTGAGGAGGCCACAGACCACAGGCACAAAAAATATTAAAGAATTTTTCTCATTAGATTATAAAAAGTATTAATGCTACAGTTACAATTAATACAATACTCACCTTGTAACCAAGCTCCAAATGTTGATCACTGCTTTTCTTCACATAACGAAGATCAAGCCTCTGACCATCTTCCCTAATAATGTACTTTGCACCTGTCTTCCCCGGGGGAGGATGAGGCCCATTTAGTACAAGTTCCTTCAACCTGAGATCATTGGAGTCAGTTGTAAGCTCAGCAAAACAACATTTGCATAACACGTTTCAGTAAACTGGTTTACCTCTCAATGTTATATGGCGTGATAGTTTCTGGATATGTTAGGTTCAAAGCAATACTCCATGGCACACCCAATTCATCAATGTTAATATTTGGATCTGATGTGATAATAGTATAGGCTGAGAAATCAACTCGCTTCCACATCAAGTTTCCTCTAGCCCGGCCTTCTTTTGCTTTCAGCCTGCTGCAAATTGATTTAATTGGCCTTCAAGAACGCTGTGTGGCCTGAGCATTTAAAAACAAACAGAAAAGAATAATTTAGCCTTGTATCTATAGGTGACATGCAAGACATCTTTCTAGTAGACTACTCACCCTGGGTTGGCCAGGAAGTTCATTATCAAAGTATGTAGCAATGTGAAATTGCAACAACTGAGCAAACTCCTCTATAATGTGAGCTGGAGCTCCGTTTCTCTCTTGCCTCCTCAAGTGCTCATTATGCCGAATTATCATAGCTAATTGATGAGTCAAATCATCCTGCAGAAACAGATGAAAGGACAAGAAGAATAACATTGAGCTACAGTAGAGCATTCCAATCCATCCATGCAAACAAGTCAAAACATAATTACTGTAATAGTAGTAGTAGGCTCACCTCGCTTTTGGAAGAAGTGCCCATCACAACAGAAGGTCTAACAGGGGGTGGAGGAATTGGAAGAACCTAGAGTATCATCCAATCTAGACGGGCCAATTTGGGATGTAAGCCCAACACAAGACACTCCTCATTAGATATACGCTTGAGAACGTTAAGGACCTAGTCAAACAAGCCATGTAAGCGAACCGCATGGTTACAGTAAATTTCTTAGAACAACTTGTTAATTGAACATAGATCATATAAATACCCTCTCAGCAGAGAGAATCTGCTTCGGTTCCACTAACTCAAAGAGTTGCTCTTTATCATTTTTCTTCTTTGGTGCTTTGAATTCCACAAGCATCTTCATACCATCAACTGTAATAATTGGCTGCTGAGTACCACAGCCATCTCTTCTCTTTACATGCTCATCAGTATCTTGCTGCTGCTGGACATCAAGATCATCACCGTCACCACAGACCTTTTTGGTCTTGCAAGCATCATATATTCTCTTCAATCTATTCTTTGGGTTCTTGATTTTCAGAGCCTGCTTGAACTTGGTATTATCCTACAAGATGAATGTGTCAAATAACCTTAGAAAAAAACATGATATTTAGTATAGTGGCTAAACATGTGACAACAGCTAAATCAGAACTTTGTGAAAAGTTCCAAAGTTGGTTGATGGTCAGGTTTAATTACTCTAGTCGTTTTATACAGAACACAAATATGTTTTTGCTAGGGTGGTAATATCACCCAAAATATACACTACAGCACAAGTTTCTAAGCTTCATGAATCTTACATTAGGTTTCAGATAAGTCTGCCTGCACATGGAAACAAGTTTTTGTAATGCGATACCAAGTTTACAAGTTTTTGTTAAACATGCCTCTTGTGGACAATAGCAAACTGAGGTGCTCGAGCATGTTAGCTTCCCCCACGCGGTGGCGCGACTGGCTCTCGGCGATGCTCGGGATTGTGAGCACCAAGGTTCTCGTCAATGGCAGGCCTAACCATCGGATTTGCCACACCCGCGGCCTACGGCAGGGCGACCCCCTGTCGCCTCTCCTATTTGTAATTGTCATGGAGGTCCTCAACATGGCACTGATCGCTGAGGCAGACCGTCGCGCAGCGCTAACTCCTCTATTGGGCAACGTGATCAAGTACCATGCCTCGGTATACGTCGACGCCCTCATCGTCTTCCTTGCACCGACGCCTCGGGACTTCGCTTGCATCCGCCACATCCTGGAGCTCTTCATAGGTGCGTCTGGCCTCTCGACCAACCTGGAGAAGTACACCATCACCCCTATTCGGTGCTCCATCGAGGAGATCTCGGCTATCCAGGAGGTGTTCCCATGTCGGCTGTAGGATTTTCCGACGAAGTACTTGGGAGCCCCACTATCATTGTTCCGGCTAAGCCGCAACGTTGAGCAAGGACTAATTGATGCCATCGCCGCCCGGATCCCGAAATGGAAGGCCGGCCTTCTCATGACCGTAGGGAGAGCCACGCTGACACAGACAATGCTTTCCACGATCCCGGTCCACATCTCCATCTGTTGCAGCTTGTCTGCCAAGGCAATCGAGGAAATCGATAAGAGGAGGTGCGCTTTTCTTTGGAAGGAACGGACACCGTCACCGGCGGCAAATGCAAGGTCGCTTGGCCCATCGTCTGCTCACCAAAGGAGGTTGCCGGACTGGGTTTGCTAGACCTCCGTGTTCTTGGCTTTGTCCTACGCCTATGGTGGGAGTGGCTACGCCGAACGCAGTCGGACAGCGCCTGGGCTTCCCTGCCTTCCAAGGCCAAGAGAAAAGTGGACCACATGTTTAGGGCGTCGCTCTCTCCATCCTGGTGGGAGATGGCGCCTTTGCATGCTTCTGGACAGACTCATGGCTTCTGGATGGAGCCATCTATAGCTTCGCGCCCAACCTCTTCAGGGTGGTTGGTTGCCACCGCCATAAGCGCACCGTTAAGGAAGCCGTCATGAACCATCAATGGGAGAGGGATATCTCCGGTGCTACGACTGCAGCCATACTCTATGAGTACGTCCATGTCTAGGACTTGGTCGAGGCGGTCCAGCTATCGCCACAAGTCACTGACCACTACATCTGGAAGTGGACACCAAGCGGAAACTACTCCGCCTCCTCTTCGTATAGAACATTCTTCTTTGGCATGACTTCGTTGCCTAGAGCCATGTTCGTCTGGAGGGCCTCCGTGCCACCAAAGGTGAAGTTCTTCTTCTGGCTTGCGCTCCATGGCCGTCTGTGGACCGCTGAACGTCAGAAACACCATGGACTTTAGGCGGATGCTGTCTACGCGCTTTGCGATCAAGACGATGAGACCACCGACCATCTCCTGGCATCCTACCCGTTCATGCGCGAGGTCTGGATGCGGCTCCTTGTGTCGATGGGACTCTAGCATCTTGGGCCGTGCATTGATTCCACCATGGCTGATTGGTGGTTGCAGACTAGGGCTGACTTCCCGAAGACGTTCTGTCATGGATTCGACTCCCTTGTCCTGCTCGTCTCATGGATCATATGGAAAGAGACAGGCGAACCTTCAACCGTCTCTCGAGAACTACCACACAGGTCCTCGTCATCATCTGTGAGGAAGCAGGCGCCTGTGTCCTTGCCGGGTTCCGTGTAACACCTCTGGTGTTACGAGCTCGCTTAGCACCAAGGTAAGGCCTAAGAGAAATCTGTCAACCAAATTTTCGGGTTTTGAAAACCAAATACGCACATGAAGTAATAAGTAAATCCTATGTGACTCACTTTTATGGACTCAAATAAACATCCAAGGTAACTCACTCAGTGCATGAAGTATTTAAAAACGTCCGATAACAATTCTAGCAAATAAATAGCGAATGACTTGTTCTATTAGATTAAGCATGAAAACCAATTTTTATAAAATTTTTTAAAGTATAACTCGTATTTATTACTTGAATAAAAATTGGAGTGCTAGTTTAGTAGAGGAAAATGCAACTTTTATTTTAGTGAGTAGAAATTGTTCAATAGTATATTTGATAGCTCAGAAATTGAATCTGAAATTAAACTAGAACTTTTCATAAATCGGCAGGAAGTTGAAATTATAGTTAGATTACTATTTTGATGAATTATATTGAGCAAAATAGTTAAAGTGTGCTTAAGTATTTCACTCCTATGGGTTAATATGCAGTATGGGCTATGTCATGATATGCTTGTTAGTTGAAATCGACAAGGTTTAGACCTTTTAAAAATTAAGGCAAACGCGCTAGTGGATGTTAGTTCAAAACTAAAATATATGATTTTCTAAGTATGGAAAGGTGGTATACAATGCAATCTTGACATTTGATTTCTAACATAAACATTTAGACACTAGCCGCATGTTTTGGTATTGTTGATTGCATCTAAGTGAGCATTGGAGAATGTTATAGGTCGTAGTGGTGTTGGGTGTTATGTTGCTCTCTTAAAAATTGCTCGAACTTCATAAGAACGCGCTGTGAACTATGTGGTTGGTGCTTTGTTCGTGAACCGATGTTTCCACAATGAACTGATCTTGGCACTCGTTGATCTTCCTCCTCAGCGGCTCGTTGATCATAACCATGGTTTTGCTAGGAACTAGGTAGCGTGAAATATGGATGGGGTGAGCGGTTGAGCCTTAGGTGGGGTAATTAGTCGTTTTTGTTGAGCTTTAAAATTTGTGCGTATTGCCATTTCTGTCATTGGGCTTCCGTGGTCACGGTCACCACGTTAGCATGGCGCCGCGGCTGCCCGACCGCTCCTGGCCGTGGCCGCTGCTCCGCTGGCCAACTTCACTGGCAGTTGGCCACACATCGGGCTGTGGTTGGCCGCGTTCATTTCCACAAGACCGGGCTGGGCTTGCCGCCGGCGAGGCCATGAGCAGGCCGAGTTGATGCCGTGGCAGCCGCCATCTAGCCGACATGGAACTCATTCCACCGCTCGAACCACCTACGCGCCGAGACGTTGCCTGCTTCCGTAGTCACATCGCACTTACGACCTAGTCACGATGTCACTACTCTCTCGCACGTCGCGTTGTGCCTTGGCTCCACGCGGTAGCTTAGCGCGTGGCCTCTATTTCATTGCCACCGACCGAGTCCGCCTAGACGAGCCATCCCATCTGAAAGGTCCTAATATGGCTAGGGGGGGGGGTGAATAGCCTATTTGAAAATCTACAAACCAACTAGAGCAATTTGATTAGTATGACAAATAGCGAAAAGCAAACTTGCTCTAGCTCTACAAGGGTTGTTAGCCACCTATCCAACAATTCTAGTTACTATGATCACTAGACACACAATCTACTAAGTCACTACTCACTAAGAGCTCTCACACTTGCTACACTAAAGAGCTCCACTAGATGAACTTAAGCTACAAAGCAAGCTCTCAATTCTAGCTACACTAAAGAGCTTGCTACAACTAGTTTGCGGGAATGTAAATAAGCGAGTAAGGTGATTATACCACCATGTAAAGGAGTGAACCAATCACAAGATGAATACTAATTTAATCACTAGGAGAATACCAAAGGGCAAGAGACAACCAAACTTTTTCTCCTAAGGTTCACGTGCTTGCCGGCACACTAGTCCCTGTTGTGTCGACCAACACTTGGTGGTTCGGCGGCTAAGAGGTGTTGCACAAACCTCATCCACACAATTGTACACTGCAAGAACCGACCCACAAGTGAGGTAACTCAATGATATGAGCAATCCACTAGAGTTACCTTTCGGCGCTCCACCGGGGAAGGCACAAGACCCCTCACAATCATCGCGATCGGAGCTGGAGACAATCACCAACCTCCACTCGATGATCCTCACTGCTTCAAGCCGTCTAGGTGGCAGCAACCACCAAGAGAAACAAGTGAATCGACAGCGAAACACGAACACCAAGTGCCCCTAGATGCAATCACTCAAGCAATGCACTTGGATTCTCTCCCAATCTCACAAAGATGATGAATCAATGATGGAGATGAGTGGGAGGGCCTTGGCTAAGCACACAAGGTTGCTAAGTCAATGCAAATGGCCAAGAGAGTGAGCGTGAGCTGGCCATGGGGCTTAAATAGAGAGCCCCCATGAATAGAGCCATTGGCTCTCTGTTCCCTAAAAAATCAGGGTGACTGGACGCACCGGTCGGTTTGACCGAACGCAGGACCCTAGCGTCCGGTCCTCATATTTTTGCCATGTGTCCCCAACTTCAAATGCTGATCACCCGATCTCAATGGTCATCAGTGCACCTAAGTTGTGACCAGACGCGCTGCTCGAAGTGACCGGAGCACCATCACTCTTGTCTGGTCGTTTCCAGTATGGTTCCAGAGACGGTTTTTCTCGATAGGACATGTCCGTTGGCACATGACCGGACCCAGGCCAGCGTCCAGTCAACACAGTCTCTCTTTGTTGCTTGCGTCAGCGTACGTCACTAGGTGACCGGAGCACCCCCTGCGTGTTCGGTCCCTTTTTCACTTCAGCGTCTAGTCAAGGGACCGAGGGCGGCCTTCGCTGCGCGCCACTGACCGGACGCAGGGTCAGAGTCCGGTCACTGCCCAAGATAGAATCCGGTCAATACGAAATAGCTCTTTTTGACCAGAAACTTCACCACCCTTGATCAAATGTGCCAACCACCAAGTGTATCACCTTGTGCACATGTGTTAGCATATTTTCACAAATGTTTTCAAGTGTGTTAGCACTCCACTAGATCCTAAATGCATATACAATGAGTTAGAGCATCTAGTGGCAATTTGATCATTGCATTTCGATACGAGTTTCACCCCTCTTAATAGTACGGCTATCGATCCTAAATATGATCACACTCTCTAAGTGTCTCAATCACTAAACCAAGAAGCTCCTATCAATTTCACCTTTGCCTTGAGCTTTTTGTTTTTCTTTCTTCTTTTCCAAGTCCAGGCATTTGATCATCATCATGCCATCACCATCATCATGTCATCATCTTCATTTGCTTCACCACTTGGAGTAGTGCTACCTATCTCATAATCACTTTGATAAACTACGTTAGCACTTAGGGTTTCATTAATTCACCAAAACCAAACTAGAGCTTTCACCATCCCAGAACCTCATGACTGCTCCCTCCAAGTCACGCTGCACGCACATCCTCATGTATTTATCACGGCCTCTACCAAGGCTGGCCGAGCCACGTATAGCCATCGTCGTCTGCCTTGTCACCATTAGAGCCATGCCATTTTCATGATTTCAAGCCGTCCGTAGCCCACCCTCCGCTTCAGCACTCCAGCAGATAGACATAGCAACCAGCTAGCAATCTGACCCCCTCCCTAACGTTGGCAAGCCCTACCGGCCGACAATTTGGTGCCGCGCACCACCGTGGGCCATGAGCGTCGCCGTAGCTAGTAAGTGGTAGGTAAGGCCTAGGGTTCAATTGCTTGCGATCCCGAACTCGGTTTGACTTCCCCTATTCGGTGCTTGTGTTATTATGGCTAGAGCATTCGTCGATGGCATGGTGACGCTGGTGTCTGCGGCGGAGCACCGCCGTCCCGCTCACTCGCATGTGGCCAGACCACCACCACGTTTCTCTACTTTAATCTCTAGAGCAGTGGACACCATGGTGAGCCACTAATACTCATCCACCTTTTGCACTCCGCTGAACACGCATAGTTTCGTCGGAACAGGCTCGCCGCCGATGCGGATCGCCGTCCACCGTGGTAGACCACGACAGGGCCTCGCTGAGTGCCCAACCGCCGCCCGTCGCTGTGGGTTTAGTCATAGATGGTGGTCGATCCATTAGTGCCATCGTAGTAGGTCTAGCGTGTCTAACATAACCGCTATCGCTGCCGGTGTGCCGCCACGCGCAGCGCAGGCATGTCGAGGACCGCCCCATTACGAAGGAAACACATTCTAGGGACTTTAATACAAAACATGAGTCTGTAGTAATAGTGCTCTGTTGCTCTGCCTGATTGTCCTAAAAACCGAGTCCTCTTTTGCAAAGTGCCATGCGCGCGGGCTTCCCCCGCCTTGGGCCGTATTGGGCCTCCGCGGCGCGCACGTGCCCGCGCCCCGCGCTGGGCCGGTAGGCCAGATGGGTTAAGGTCGGCCCTTTTCTTTTTCCAAGTATTTGCTAATTTAGTTTCTAAGCTAAACTTCTAAATTCAATACCAATTTGTGTAGCTAACCAAAAATTGTGAAACTTATTTTGTTAGGTTCCTAAAATCATGATCTATCTTCTAGTGTATTTTATTCACATAGTTTCATAGAATTTTCAAGAGTAATCTAATTAATTCGAGATGCTTAATATTGTTAAAACATAAACTTGTAGGAATTGTTGTGATGAATTAGTAGTTGTGTTGGCTCTAAAATTTTTACAGTACATTCCTAACATTATTAGGTGCTCACTGTAATTTTTGTAGCTCCATAGGGATTAGTTTGTTAAGGTAACAAAATGAGCCCTACTATGAAAAATATATATTTAATCAATTAAATGTTAAAATAATTGGGGGTTTGTAGAATGAAAACATTTTCTAGAAATGAGCCTCACTTGACAACG